TATTAAGGTGAAAATTCTCCCCAAATTGACCTAAAGATTCAATGCAATCCAATCAAAATCTCAACAGGCTTTTTATTTTGTAGAAACTGAGAAGCTGGTTCAAAATGTATATGGAAATGTAAGGGTCATTCAATAGTCAAAACAACTTTGAGAAAGGAGTAGAGTGGGAGGGCTCATACACAGACAATCAAAAGGAAAGAACAGAGTCCAAGTGTAAATCCACATGTACATGGACAACAGATTCAACAGAGGTGTGGACGTGATTCAGCTGGGGAAGTCTTTAGATCATATAGTGCAGGAACAACTGGGAATGCACAGGTCGCTCACAAACACTATTCTGAAAGGGAAAGAACAGAGTCCAAGCGTAGACTCACATGTACATGGACAACCGATTTCAACAGAGGTGTGGATGTGATTCAGCTGGGGAAGGACAGTCTTTAGATCATATAGTGCAGGAACAATTGGGAATGCACAGGTCGCTCACAAACACTATTCTGAAATGGGTGTTGGACCTAAATTTAAAAATGAAATCTATAAACTGTCTAGACCTGTGTTGCCCATTGCGGTAGCCATTCGCCACACATGGTATTTACATTGAAATGAAGTTAAAAATTCAATTTCTAGCTCACATGTGGCTAGAGGCCACCAGGTTGGACAGCACAGGTATGGAACATTCCCACCATTGCAGAAGAGTCCATTGGATAGTGCTGTTATGGATGAAAACAGGAGAAAATTTCCCCAACCTTACAGCGGGCAAATGTTAATCGGGATACAGGCTGCAATGAAAGGAAAAATGGATAGACTGCACTTCATCAAATTTAAATCCTTCAGCTCTTCAAAGGATACCATGAAGCAAACAATAAGATAAGCCACACCTAGGAGAAAATATTCATATTCTAAGCCTCTGATACAGGACTTGCATCCAATATACATAAATAACCTTTACAACTCAGTACCCAATATTTATGCTATGCAAAAGTTTTGAATAGACTTAGGACAAAGATACACAAATGACTAATAAGCACATGAAAATAGGCTCAGTATGACGATCATTTGTCATCAAAGAAGGAGGGAGCACATCACTCCCACTAGAAAAGGCTAACACTAAAAAAGCTGACAATACTGATTGTTGACCAGGATGTGGAATGTGCAATGGAGCAACCACTTTGGAAAATATTTGTGCAGCATTTTGCAAAGTGAAACATGCATCTACTCAAGAAGAACTTACAATCACACAAAAACCTGTGCATAGGTGTATGTAGCGTTTTTTTATTTATAACTAGAGGCCCAGTGCATGAAATTCGTGCACTCGAGGAGGGGGAGGCGCTCCTCAGCCTGGCCTGTGCCCTCTTGCAGTCTGGGAGCCCTCAGGAGATGTCTGACTGCTGCGGAGGCGGGAGAGGCTCCTGCCACCACCACTGCACTCGCCAGCTGTGAGCCCGGCTTCTGGCTAAGCGGCACTCCCCCTGTAGAAGCGCACTACTAAGGGGTAGCTCCTGCATTGAGTGTCTGCCCCCTGGTGGGCACTCCTCAGCCTGGCCTGTGCCCTCTTGCAGTCTGGGAGCCCTCAGGAGATGTCTGACTGCTGCGGAGACGGGAGAGGCTCCTGCCACCACCACTGCACTCGCCAGCTGTGAGCCCGGCTTCTGGCTAAGCGGCACTCCCCCTGTAGAAGCGCACTACTAAGGGGTAGCTCCTGCATTGAGTGTCTGCCCCCTGGTGGTCAGTGTGCATCATAGAGGCCAGTCGTTCCACCATCAGGCCCAAACTGGCTCTCCAACATCCCCCGAGGGGTCCTGGATTGCCAGAGGGCACAGGCCACACCGAGGGACCCCACTGGTGCATGATCGGGGCTAGAGAAGGATGCAGGAGGTTGGCCAGCCAGGGAGGAAATGCGGGAGGGCTCTAGGGCATGTCTGGACCATCTCGCTCAGTCCTGATCAGCTGTTCCCCAACAGCAAGCTAATCTATCAGTTGGAGCGTCTGCCTTCTGGTGGTCAGTGCACATTATAGCTAGCTGTTGAGTGGCCTTAGCATATCATTAGCATATTATGCTTTGATTGGTTGAATGGCCAACTGGACACTTAGCATATTAGGCTTTTATTATATAGGATTGCTAAGACTGGCAACAGACCAAATGTCCATCAAGGAATGAAGGATAGACCATATCATGGAGACCTCTCAAAATCATGAGGGAAGGACTGCCTGGTGAGTCCAGGAAGCACTGCTGAGTCCCCCTGCCTGCAGAACTGTCCCCAGCAAGTAGCTGGGTGCTGGGGTGCAGGTAGCTGGGAAGGGGCTGAGGTTCGGGGTGGCTGGGGGCTCTGGGAGGACAGAACCTGTCTGTGCCTGGGTACATGTGGAAATGAAGGGTTGTGAGTTGTAAGAAAGCATTGAACCACATACTCAGAATGGGTGTGATTTATTGCATGTGACTTGCACTTCAATAAATCATGTTTTAGAAGCCTGCACTGCTATAAGTGGGTGAAAGGCCTGGGACAGGCATAGAGCATGGAGCCCACCCCCCATTTCCCTCCCTCATCTCCTGGGAGTCCAGCCCCAGCTTGTGGAAATGCTTTAGAAGAGAGGAGTGAGCCAGGGGGTTCTGAGAGAGCAAGAGGCTGGGGGCCAGGGAGAGGCCATGGGGTGAGGCTGCTGCCTGGGTCCCCCACAGCCTGGAGGGGGTGAAGTAGCCAGGGCCCAGTCACATTTGACACAGTGCCCTGGAGCTTTGAGGTGTGTGTGTTGGGGGTGGGGGGGTAGAGTTAGGTGTGCTCTGAGCTGGGGCACCCCTGTGGCCACACAGGTCTCCACGTGACTTCTCCCACAGAGTCCCCTCTCTCTGCCCCAGGGAGAGAGACCCCCAGACCAAAGACCCCCTGCATCCCTCCTGAACTATTGGGTCTGTCTCTCTCCACCCCCAGTTTGATGCACTCAGATGCTCTAGAAATGGCCACAAGTGGTCAGTGCATAATACAGACCCTCCAGCCCCACCTCCCCATCCTCCCAGTTCCCGGGCTCCTCCACATCTGTCAGCGTTCTCAGAGTTCATTCTCAGAGATCCCCTCCCCGCCCAGGGAAGTGTCTCCCCTGGTTTGGGGCTCCCCCTGGGGAAGGGTGCCTCCCACCATCCTGAGACCCTTTGTGCCCCACAGGGCCAAGTGAGGCCTGGCTCCCTGGCCTCTCCGAGAGTGACAGCCAGTGGTCCTCGCCCCTTCTCCCCACTAGTGCCTCGAAGAAGTGAGATGTGAAGGGTGGGTTCTTGTTGGAATGTCCTTGCCTATTTATCTTAGTCTGAGAAACGAACTTTGACTTTTATTTGCCAAATTTCAAAAAACAAAAAGATCCCCCTGAGCTCCGGAGTGGAGCAGCGCTGAGTGAAGAGGCAGACGGGGCAGCATTGACATCTTCGGAGTGAGGGCTGAGTTTTCACAGCCCAGGGCTGAGCACAAGGCTCCGGCTCCGAGGGTGATGGGTGCTGTGGGGACGGGAGGTGGGGTGCAGCCTGGACCCCTGGGGCAGCCGCAGGCTTGTCCTCTGCACCTGTCGTCTGCGCAGGCACGTTAGTACTTACTTGTCTTCCTTTCCATGGGTGGGTGGGCTGTCCTGTCTCCCAGCCGTCACAGCCCCACACGGTAGGTAGTGCTTCCTGTCCTAACTGTGCCATTCATTTTATTGTATTTCTTGGTCAAGTTTCCCGGAGTGCTCGCCATACCATAGTTTTTTGTTTTGTTTTGTTTTTGAGGAACTGAAACCGGAACTGCCTGCCACCAAAGCCAGACTCGTGAGATAGGTGCTGATGAAAAGGGAAAGAGGTTTATTTAATTCCCAGTCACCTGAGAAGATCTCAAAGCCCATCTTAACATCTCCGGGTAGGCAAAGGGCTTTTCAAGGGGGGCCCTGGGGAGAGGGGGACTAAGGAATTCTGGCGATGTGCAGTTTCCATTCCAGTTCTCAGCTGGTTTCCATGTTTTCTTTTGTGTGTGTCAGCACCGGGTGTTTTTTCTCTCTGTGGGCTCTATTGCTGATGTCCAGGGACACGATGTTGCAGGCCTGGCCTGCCCTCGCATCTGCTACACTCCTGTCGGGGAGGCCCATGGAAGGGGAACTGGGACGGCTGCTGCCCGTCACGTGCTTGAATATAAAACTATTAATATTTTAGACTCTGAGTTTTGTTAGTATATTTTTATTTTTAATTCTTGGTTAGTTAGTTAATTAAATGTGAGGTTTTTAAAAATACCCTATGCCCTGTTACAGAACGATCTTTTGGATAAAAAAAAAAATCAAGTTTATTTGCTTTCCAATTAGAGGAATTCATTTCTGCTATTCTCATCATTTCATTGGTTTACTCTCTTTTGTGAATTGCTCCTTTTCTGCTCGTTTCAGTTATGTTTCTTTAATTTTAAATAATAAAACTAAGAAATAATACAAAAATCATTGCACAGTGAATTCTCCTCCAAGGCCCTCCGGCCGGGTCCCACAGATGTTTGTGACGTGTGTTTGTCCTGAGTCTATAAAGAGAAACATGTCAATTTGGATTTCCTCTTTGACCCAGGACTCATTGGGAAGAATAATTAACATTTTCAACTAGTTAGGCTGTCTTACATATTTTTGTTTCATTAATATTTTGTTTTATGTAGAGTTAAGTTCAGAGAATGTGGCCTAAGCGATTTTTCATTTTTTCAAATTGTTCTGAGCTTTGACTTGCAGCTGGTTTGGGGGTCCTTTAAACTTTTTCATGGGATTTTGGAAAAAAATGTGTACACAGTGCATTTTATTTAAAAATTCAAGTCAAATCACCAACAGTAGGATTTGTCTTTTTTTAAAATTTTGTTTTATTGCTTAAAATATTACAAAGAGTAGTACATTTGTCTCCTTTTTTTCCCCCCTTGACCTTCCCCCAGCCTCCCTTACCTCCAGTGTCTTGTGTCCATTGGTTATGCTTATATGCATGCATACAAGTACTTTGGTTGATCTCTTACCCCACACACACACTCCCCAGCCTTCCTGCTGTAGTTTGACAGTCTGTTTAATGCTGCTCTGCCTCTGTATCTATTTTTGTGATTTGTCTTTTCCACCCTCATTTTGCATTTTCTCTGCAATCTATGGCATTTGCCCAGAGTCCAGGTCCCCTGTGGCTGTGTGGCCATGCCCTCCTCTCATCCCACAGACTTCATTCTCACATCCCCAGGCATATGCACGTTTCACCCACATAAGGTGCATTCCCTTACCCATTTCACTCCTCACCTCGAATTCTGCTTTCTGTGGTATGAGCACCGTGTTCTGCACGTTCCCGGGCTGTGCTTTTCAGCCCCTCACCCGCACACTTCCTTGTCATGTTGTTGCTGGTATGCCCCTCACCGGTTCTGCTTTTCTGCATAAAAGCAGCCCACTCTGAGCTCCTGACCTTGGTTCCAGCCAGCACCTGCCCAGGTCACTCCATGAGGCAGGCTGTGCAGGGCACCTGTGGCTTTGGCAAGAGGAGCCTTGATGACCGTGGGGGGTAGGGGCATGACGGGTCAGAGGAGCCAGGCCCACGATGACAGGTCTGACTGCTGTGCCAGCCCCACACAGTACCATTGGCTAGAACCAGTGCCTGGCCTATGGCTGCCAGCCAAGGCCCACCTTGGGAAGGCTGGTCCAGCGCTGGGGAGACCCACGGTCCCTCCTGGGGGAAGGCTACCCACTCGGCTGACCTGCTGTAGGCAGGAGCAGGCCGCCAGAAGCCTGGTGGGCTGCACTGAATGGGTGGGCTGACCCACACCTATTTCTTCAAGTCCAGAGAGGACATCTGCAGGTGAGTTTTCTCCTTAGAAGGGGTTCCTTTTCCCCTTTAAAGTCAAGGCTGGAATTCCTGGCTATGATTTTGCTGTGTAACTTTGCAAGATGCCACCATTTGGGAAAACAGGGGGAAAGGGACATGGGCTCTCTGTTATTTATTACAACTCCATATGGATCTATAATTATTTCAAAATAAAAAAATTAATTAAAAGACGAATAAGCCTGGTAGATTATGTAATTAAAGAAATAGCTACCCAGATGCAAAAAAGTCGAACTCTGCAGTGGAGAGTAGTTTATTCTGCTTTATTGCCTTATCCAGGTAAACTGTTTGTAAACAATCATTAGAATTCTCAAACCTTTTATTGACTGGTTGGTCTCGACTCCTTCCCCAGATCACAGCCAGCTGTTGTCTCTACAATGCTGTTCATAGACAGTCCAAACTCAGTAGCTGTCAGGAGAAAGCATTCTTTCCCACCCACAGAGCAGTGGGCGGCCCGGGGGTTGGCCTGTCCAGGTGGGCTCTGAGCGCAGGGGGTCCTACTCCTCTCTGGAGGCTCTGGTCCTCCTTGGTCACCTTTAGAATGAGAAGCCCTGACTGGAGGGTTGGCCCCTCGCAATACCCATCCCAGGAAGGTTGTCCAGGAAGGAATGGGTACTGGGGGCATGGGGGGTACTCGGAAGGGGTGCCAGGAGGTGGTGAGTTGGGGGCACCTCTTCAGGATAGGGGGAAGCAGGGCTGGGGGGACAGGGTGGAGCTGAGTGCTGCTGCACACAGTACAACAGCAGAGCCTCTCTCAGCTCCTTCGAGAGGAGACAGGGTCTCCGTGGCCCTGCACACAGACCCTGAGCACCCTGTGAGCAGGTGTGACTAGAGCCCATGGGTGGGGATGCTGGGGGTCAGTACTGCTGGGCCATCCCTCCATACCATGGGTCCACCCAGGGACCAGGTCTTGCTCCCTCCGTGACCCTTGCAGCAGCTACCCCCACCCTCACATGTCTGAGGAATACATTATTAAGCATAAAGAAACACTTAAAGCTACAGTGACTAAAACACAGGATCCATTCCCCAAAGCGACGCTCACCTCTAAACATCGGTTTCTGTACATCTCTGGGTTTGGTGATTACACCATCATCAGCGCCCTGGAGCCTCCTGAAGCCAACACCCTGGCTCCTGTGGCTGCTCCAGACAGCAGGGCCACCCACTCTACCCTTGGAGAGCTGCCTCCAGGTTACAGGGCCCGTGAGGCGCTGTCACCCAGGCCTTGCCATGCCCTGTAGCCCTGGCTGGCTCTTCTGGGAGCAGTGGTGATCGAGGCCCCTCCACCTTCAGCCCCCAGGCACACAGCTCCGGAAGGAACCCTGGGCCTTGTATGGCCAGGAAACTTCTAGAAGCCCTGCCTGGCATGGCAGCCTCAGTCAGCCAGGAGGTTGGAGAAAGGCGTGGTCCAACCAGAATTTTATCTGACTCCACACACATGCCAGAGAGAAGCCACCAGGGGAGAGACGGGAGGGAGGAAGCCATGGGTCCTCCGGTCCTCATTGCAGGGGCAGGAGGTCATGGAAAGATGGCTCGCTGGGCACTGTGCACACCTGTGCTTGTGGGCACGACCCGTCCTGTTCCAAGGCCAGATTGTCAGCCCATCACCCTGCTCCTGTGGGCAGGGTCCTTCTCACAGCCCTCATGAGGGTCAGTGACCTACCTGCTCAGGACCCTGTGCCAGTCGTCTTGCTTTCCCCTCCCCTTTCTCATAGCAGCCCCCTGTTGCTCCCCTAGGGGCTGCACTGCTGGTCTGGCCCATCCCCCAGTTGGTCCCCAAGCCCAGGGGCCAGATCCCTCAGGTGGGACCTATCCACAGGCAAGGAGAGGGAAAGGCAGATAGAGGCCCTTTGCTTTGTCCCTTCAGTTTGCTGAGCAGGGCCTGCGGGGTTGGGCTCCCACACACCTGTGGAGACCTGTGTGGAGGAGCCAGCACAGATTGAGGGGAGCATGAGGGGAGTGCTCCAGCCGGGGGATGTGCTCTCTCTTCAGGTCTCCTTACCTTCAAAAAGCCACTCCAGGCCCCACTTAGAAGCCCTTTTGAAGGCCTGGAGACAGTCCAAGGCTGGAGCAGCAGGTGGCCACTCATGCACAGGGTCCATGGCTAGGTTCCTGGGGGGAGGGGGAGGGGAGAGTGGGGGCTTGGACAGGCACCCACACACTAGGAGGCCCAGTAGCCCTCACACAGCCCTGTTGGGTCTGCTGAGCACTCACTAGTCTCTGGACAGAAGACAACCCAGGCCCCAGTGCTCCCCATGTGTTATGGGCCTCACTGCACCATGGGCAGGCCCAGTCCAGAGGGGTGAGCTGGCTGTGGGGGGGTAGGGAGGAGCACTGGCACAGAGACTGTGGGTGTCATCACGTGGGACCTGCTGTTCACTTCTGGGGAAATTCAACAGGGCAGCCACCTGGGAAGCAAAGACGCACCCCTCCCCCCATCTGCCTTCGTCCCTCCAGATATGAGGTCTGGGTCCTGTGCACATTGGCCAGACTAAAATGACCTCCTCCTGCGTGCTGGGCATTGCATTGGAGTTCTGGCCTTCAGGGCCTGTAGATTAGCTGGCGCCAGCGGGCCCCTCCCTTCTCCCCGCTGTCCTCCTCCCTGCATGCTTCCCACAGCTGCCAGCTACCTGCTGAGTAGTGCAGCCCGGGACCTGCAAGGGCTTCTCTCCCTAATGAACTTTCCTTGCTGAGAGGTGGGGAGGGGTGTGGATCACCCTGGTCACATCTGAGCACCACACCCTCCCCCCTGCCCCTCCAGTCCCTCAGCTTCCTGCTGCCTGCACAGAGGCTGACTGGTTCATGCTCAGTCCTGAGTGGGCAGCGAGGGAATACCGGGGAGCACCGTGGAGCTGGTTGGGGGGGCGGGGCTTGCTGTTTGTGACCCCAAGAGCAGGTGTCTGTGCCTGGCTGAGGTCCTGAGGCAGCCACCAGACCAAATGTGGGTCAGGCTGTGCTTGTGGCCCGCACAGGCTGCCGCTGCTGTGTAGGGGGAGGGAGAACTCGGCAACCCCAACAGTCCTGCCCTGCCCGGCACAATGACCAGTGTCTCTGGCTTGAGTTTGGGGGTTAGCCAGGAATGGAACGTTTTAAAATGAGTCTAAAAGAAAAGAGAACACGGACTTGCTTAGGATGGCAGGCGGGGCAGGCTCACGGCAGGGGTCACGAGGCCGGCGCTCATCCAAGGGGCGGGGGTTGGGAGGGCCTCCTCCAGGTGGGTAGGAGACGGCTACAGGAGCGGGGCTACAGGAGCGGGGCTACAGGAGCGGGGCTACAGGAGCGGGGCTACAGGAGCGGGGCTACAGGAGCGGGGCTACAGGAGCGGGGCTACAGGAGCGGGGCTACAGGAGCGGGGCTACAGGAGCGGGGCTACAGGAGCGGGGCTACAGGAGCGGGGCTACAGGAGCGGGGCTACAGGAGCGGGGCTACAGGAGCGGGGCTACAGGAGCGGGGCTACAGGAGCGGGGCTACAGGAGCGGGGCTACAGGAGCGGGGCTACAGGAGCGGGGCTACAGGAGCGGGGCTACAGGAGCGGGGCTACAGGAGCGGGGCTACAGGAGCGGGGCTACAGGAGCGGGGCTACAGGAGCGGGGCTACAGGAGCGGGGCTACAGGAGCGGGGCTACAGGAGCGGGGCTACAGGAGCGGGGCTACAGGAGCGGGGCTACAGGAGCGGGGCTACAGGAGCGGGGCTACAGGAGCGGGGCTACAGGAGCGGGGCTACAGGAGCGGGGCTACAGGAGCGGGGCTACAGGAGCGGGGCTACAGGAGCGGGGCTACAGGAGCGGGGCTACAGGAGCGGGGCTACAGGAGCGGGGCTACAGGAGCGGGGCTACAGGAGCGGGGCTACAGGAGCGGGGCTACAGGAGCGGGGCTACAGGAGCGGGGCTACAGGAGCGGGGCTACAGGAGCGGGGCTACAGGAGCGGGGCTACAGGAGCGGGGCTACAGGAGCGGGGCTACAGGAGCGGGGCTACAGGAGCGGGGGTGGGGGCTGCAGCCGGGGTCCGAAGGACGCACAGGGGTGAGCCCGTGCTCCCCATTCGGCGCCCAGACCTGCTCCACCAGGGAAATGTGTGAACTGGGGAGGTGACGGGGGCGGGCCGGGTGGGAACTGAGAGCAG